AAGAGAAGCCGCAAGTGTTTCAAAGTGCCTCAATTGCCTCCTTTCACCTCATAGTAACTTTGCCTGTTGTTTAGAAGTTTGGAAACCTCTAGGCTGTAAGCTCAGACTGTATCTCTGATGACTCCCCAGTGACCCTTAGAGAAGCAACCTCCACCACTTTTAAGCCTCTCTATACCCAGTGCACTCTGGTTCTACTAACTTTTTAAATTAGATTTTTTTCTTCTTTGAAGCTGAGTGTGAAATGAAGTGCTCCGGCATGCTTTGCCTCTTTGAAAAACCCATACTCAAAATTTCCGGTTCTGTCAAGGCAGAATTTGCAGTTAATTTTGATCATTATCACACGGGATGGCGATAATTCATGGAAATATTTATTGACGAATAATTGTAGATGATGGATTTTCTGAAGCTGTGAAATCAGCCGATGGGGAATAATTTCAGTGCAGAAGAGGAAAAAACTTTAAATTTATAATAATGGTTTTGGAAGATGGGCTATAGATTTGTATTAGCACAGCAGCCACTGACAGAGGCACGCACTGGTATGGTGATGAGCTAATTTAGACTGAGCATGTCCGCTGGACATTTGATAAATTCTAAAATGGAAGGTTGGTTTGGACAGAGAGCACGAGGCGGGCGAATCTCCAGACGATCCTCAGACATCCTGCAAGATCAGGGATCTGAAAGGAAATACGCAGTTGAGGAAAATATGTTATCTTTATTCTTGGAAAATTACTTTCAATAGTAAAATCCACTGTCTCCTCTAAGATGAGTCACATGGAGAAGTTTTATTACAGTTTCCCTCACACCATTTTATCCTCCTTCCTATCCTCAAAAAAAGAAAATGGGGAAATGTATTGCCCTTTTTGCTTCTCGTTCACAAAATGCAATAAGACTCAAACTGAGTTTGGAAAGAGGTTTTCAGAACAACACAGTATTATGTTGCAGCCAGGTTTTCACTTCACTCACCGGCACACTGTGGCAGCATCAGAAAACCTGCTTTGCTGGCTAAAAGAACATTAAGGCTTTAAGTAGCAGAACAAAGGTTGATGACACCGGAAGTGCAGCTGAAGCTGAATCTGCTGAGTAAGCATAGACACATAATGGAGGCTGAAACCATCAATACACTTCATATGGACTATATACTGAAATGACATCTAAAGAAAAGTTTTGTCTTCAGTCCCTCGCGTGTCTCTGATTGGAAAAGTCAGGCTGCACTTTTAATGAGATCTGCTCACTTTAATGTAAATTGTTCTCTCTAGGGACAGCGGGGTTATATTCTCTAATTAAAGTGGCTGTGTGGCAGATTTGTGGCTGTGCAGACGACTTGGCTTTAAATGCTATAGAGACATCACGTGTAGCACGGCTTTTTGTAGAGCAAACCCATATAGTTTAGCAGGTGTTTGCATGCTGTTAGCATCATGAGCCAAGCGTCTCTGTTGAATAGGAATCTATAGTTACCACATTTTTTTCTATTTTGGGTAAATGCAATATGCTGGTGACGTGTGTCTTCTGGTTATTTGAGAGGATAAAGACACAAGGACGCTTGATACTGCTCACACTGCCTGCTGACTAAAGCCCTGGATCGGGGCTTAATTTCTCTTAAGCATCTCTAGGTTAAGATGATCAAAGTGTGAACTTATGTTACAAAGGTCCAATTGTGCAATACAAAAGTTTCCCCTGCTGCCGATTGTGCATATTTGATCAGATCAGAAAGATGGTTATAGATGATTGGAATCAGTAACCAGTTTAATCCTTGCCCTTCCTTCGAACTCTACTGAGTGTTTGCAGTGAAGAAGAGGCACTGTGGTTGTGTAGTCTACCAACAGAATGAGGGGTGAGTCAGACTCACAGACCTGAGCCCATCTCTCCCCTGCCAGTGACCCCTCTAATCGCATCAGAGGAAGTCCTGCGCTAATCATTTCTCCCCTGAGAGACACCGCACATGGCAACACAGTGAGTTTCAGTACTGCGAGTGTAGTTGTGCCATAAGTCCGCTGGAGCAGACACAAACCTGCTAAAAGAGAGATTTAAAAAAAACAATGATTGATCCCTGCGGAACAGAGTAGGGCAAAATATTCAAAGCCCCGTTTTGAGGTCGAGTGTGTAGTCTTCCAGTTTGTCAACCCACAGCTGAACTACGTTGCCAGAACAGGCCCAGATGTCATAAAGCATCAGTTGTCCTCTTGAAGTGATGCACAGAATGCTTTCCGAGGTGAAAATGGGACAGGGAGTGGTTTATTTCTGTCACAGTCTGTCACTGAGATCCCCAAAGATGCCTCTCCACCAAAGGCAAAACATTTTCCGCCACCTTCTTTAACTTACTCTGGATCTGTCACACAACTCATTATTTCAGTGTGTTGACATGAGATGTTTTCACCCTCTTTGTGTTTTCTGCTTGGCACCAGAGTGGCTCTTACCAGTGGCTCTATACATCGTCTTTGCTTCTGAGAGAAGAGTGTTACATGCTTCTAAATGTTTCTTTAGCGCAGAAGCATCAACCAGGCTGCAGCAGTCATCCCCTCCCTTTTTTAGCCCTCTCTCTTTCTCCCTGATAGAGAATAAATCTCTCTCAACTGAAGCCACACTCTCATCTTACTCTGTGCTGCAGCTCCCAAAGTACCATCAGAAAAGTGAATGAAGTTCTTCACAGAAACTCCTTCTCGGACTTACCTCATGTCTCTTTAATAAAGTCAGCAGAATGACGGCCTGTGCCTGTGCACGGATTCACCAAATCAGAGCAGCTGTTTGTTAAGTCATGTCAATTGAAGCCTGTCTGTCTTCTAGTATTAAGTCTGGTCTGTTATAAAAAGGCCAATGGTTCCATGGTGGCACCAACTCTTTAGCTGGTTTAGAAGAAAGAACTTATAGTCTGCAGTGGAGTAATTGATGTGAAAACAAAGCGGCAGTCTACTTGTTGTGTGGTTGTGAGGCAAACTAGACGGAGTTTTGAAGACAAAACCTGTGCTTGAGCAAATTAGCAAAAATGGCTGTGGCAGGATATGAGCGACAATTCAAATGAAGGTAAGATAATTAAAAGCAGTATGGGGACAGAAAGAGGACCTCAGAAGAAGTGGCAATGATCAGCCTTGGTGAAATCCTCACTTTGATATTCTCTCCCTCAGGACTGACTGCAAACTGACCGTGGCCCTGAACTCAGCAACAAGCTTCCTAGAAACTACAGCAGATGAAGACGCTAACACTTTGCTGATGTCCTATGTTACTTTGACTTGTGCATGTGAAAAATATCACAGCACTTTGCTAAACAGCAGTGATTAAGAAATCCCATCAATCAAAAATCAAACAAGGCCATCATGCACGACTGTTTCCTCATTCTTTTCTGTTGCCATGGCTGAAACCTCTACTGCTTATTTTGTATGCGGCCTCCATCCAACTACCATTAAACAAAAAAGGAAAAAAAAAAGTTGAAGCTGCTTGTTTCCCGGCACCCAACAGCAATCCAACGTGCCTGGAATAAATAGTGCTGACCTTGGGAGAGCTGCACACATCCTGTGTGCCAAAGTGCTAAAAACAAAACAGGAGCTTCCAGCCAAGGGCCAGATTATTTTGGCAGAAAGGTGTGATGGAAAGAGGATAGGAGACAGAGGGAGGAGTACGGTCATGTGCACACAAAGTAGATCTAGACCTGCACTCAGAATAGTTCCCTGAAAAAAAACTTGCAAAGAAAGCCACCCAGGAAGTTTATTTCTGCTTCTCTCTGCCAATCTCAGTCAAGGTCAGGCCCCCTGTTACTGACACCCTTCAATCATGGAAGAGGTGTAGCCGCCACAGAGTGAGATCCAATCATTTGAGCCTTTGTGCACAACACAGTGTGACCTGCCATGCTTTGAGAGAGGGGCAAAGGGTTAGAGAGGAAGAGGGAGTTGGGTGAGGAACATGGCCTTTGAGTAGACCACACCCACATCTCTGCTTGATTTCCTCTGCAGTGTAGCAGCTGAAATGGAATTCACTTAAACAAGACTAACAAGCACACACTCCTTTTTCCACTCTAATTGCAGTTATTGTATTTCATCAATAGATTTAAATTAGTCATGATAAAACAATAAGACGGGTCTAAATTTATTCCTGTTAGGAAGCTGGATTGTAGCTGTTCTTAAGAGACATTTTTAGCTTCCATATTGATGTTATGTCAGTGGTATGGATGAAGTTTAATCAATGTGGGCTGAATTTTCCTGCCTTCAAGTGCAGAATATAGTCAGCCACTATCACTACAATATTCATTGATGACTGCAAAGAATGTTTATATTAGAATGAAGAATTCACATATTCACTGTGAAGACTTTCTGTCTCTGTCCTAGTTGTGCATACAGTGCTCAATCTGCAGCATTTACATGTAAAGGTCTGTCAACACTGAATGTGCAGATGGCCGTGTACGGAGAGGGCCCTGCTGTTTACATTAACTATTCTCTGTGTTTATGTAATCAGATGCAGAAACATACTGTATAAAGAATGGAGTGAATATTTTCACCATCTTTGTTTGGAGTTAATCCATATTTACAGAAAAGCTAGGCAATGAAAAATTGAATGCAACTTAACTCTTCCCTCGTCAATACAATTGACAATGACTGCATTCATATTCATGAGTATACGGGTGTTGCTGCAAACTCACAATGGGTTAATGTAGTTAAAAGTAAAAAAAATAAAAGGAATCAGTATAATGACACTGTGGTTCAAGTCCAGGCGAAGCATTCGCTAATGTCCCATTAGCCTAATGCAACATTAGATCGCTAATGAGATTAAGCTTTTTTTCACTGAGTGGACACAGAAAATGTTATTGTTATTAACTGAGCATTAAGTGTGTGATCCATCTACTGCATGTTCCAGATGAGTCAAACCTGCGTGGGCAACTAGCGACAGTGTAATTGAGAGATCATGAGGCTAGTGAAGAAATTACAGCAACCTCTCAACATTTTGTGCATACGGTCCCTTCACACGTCTCTGATTGGCTGTCAATTCACACCACCGGCTTGTTTTTGTTTGTATAGGGTGTGATGTCAGCAGGAGACGGGGCTGCTCAGCCAGCACCGCCGACAGTTCTGCAGCGGCAGCATCCAATCAAGCAGACAGCACAGGAAAGCACACGCAAAGGTTAGAAACAGACAACAGGAACAATCTTCTTTCACTCAGTGGAGAGAGGCCGTGAGCTAATGGCTCTTTTCTTTCTAACAGCAATCAGTGTCACAGATCCAAAATGGAATATTGAATATTAATTATCACATTATCTGTTTGTGATTTGAAATAACTGATGGTGACACTTACAAACGGTGTCTGTCGGGGCGTGACGCTCTTATACACCCTTGCAATACTAACAGATGAGGTTGGTGCCAACATTATTATAGGAGATAACCTTCAGTCCCTGTAGAGGACTCTCACTCAATTAACTGGGTGCTCAGCCTCCTTATCAGCTCTCTGTCAAGTCTCCCTTTATGCTAAAATTTTTTTCATTACACAATTAAATGATTTAGTTGTTTTAACTTGAAAGAGAACAGATTTTTGCACGCCCCACCCCCCTCTCGGGAACAAAAGCAATGACTGTGAATGATGAATTAGCGTAATGAGATGGCTTGATATTTACAGCAGTCGTTTAACACTGACTGGCGCATGGCCTGCAGCTCCAGGCTCTCCACATCTGGCTTCGTCAAGAATCTCATTTGCAATGGGAGGGTCCTTGCAGATTATTTCAGATGATATCTTCTTATTACTATTTATGCTCGTTACAGCTCAGTATCAAACAAGCTTCTTATGTTTGGCCGGTTGCATATGGTGAAGATCATGAGGTCTGTTGCCTGGAGCGACCAAGGGTCCAAGGCATGATGTCCAGCACAAACAAGATTAACGATGGTCCTCCCCTCTGACTGAAAGATCCAGACAAGCTGGTCTTATTAAAGTAAAATGAAAGACAAGAGGTATTTTATGAATGGTAAAGTCAGAATGAAACGCTTATGAGGTCTTATCAAGCAAGAGGAACTACTTTGACAGGCAGTACCCAATCTAGTATTTTAAGAAAAATGGTGGAGTGTTATTTCTGAACAAAACAAGCTTCTATAATTTCCCCTCTACCTACAAGTTATTCAATATTACACACTGTTGTTCAATACAACAAAAAATGAAATAAAAAGTATTTAATTCCCCATCCCTTCTTACGATAAGGAGGTGCACTTAAAAATCATGAATGAAATCATGGATTTCTTACAATTTGCTGTTTTATAAAATGGGTGTAGAGTGTCTTTTACTCAAAACTTTTTCTTTCAAAAATATCTCACATTAATGATTCAATTGCTTGCAAAACTGCGATGTTGAATTTGTCATCAACTAATTCATCTGTTAACGTTCTGTCATAATTACAAATGGTGTTGAGTAGAGTCTTGTTTGGCCGTATTCAGAAATGTTGCATGAGTGGGGAAGGAGAATAAAAATGACTCTCAGTGATCACAGATAAATATACTTTTTAAGTCCTGGTTGATTGTTTTGTTTGATTGGACTTTTCAACTTGATTTGTTTTGTTGTGTTTCTTCTCAGTTTTTTCCTGATTATTCTGTGTTTTATACATTCCTGTCATCTTCAGTATTTTTTCTGGTGAAGTTGAAAATTGACACCGGGTTTTGCAAATATGCAGACTTTCTTCCGAGCTCATACAGAGCTCCTTTATGCTGCTTGTGTCTACCTGAAAGTCCCTTTTGATAGGCAAGTGCTTCTCTCCCCAGAATCATCAACAGACAGGCGTGTGCAGATGACGGATTGCTGTCATGGAATATCAAATGCTGATTTTCTGTATAATAGATTCAGTGATAATACCTCCTGCTGTCCTGCCACCTGTTCTGTCAGCTGAGAGTCGCGTAGCTGCGCACACATTCACGGCTCGTTTACCAGCTTGCAGCACTTCAAGCACATCCCTAATAACCAGTCAACGAGAGTCAGAACCAGCGCAAATGGAGACGGTCGGCTGGACCTGCCCACACACCCGTAGCGATAAGATGAGTTGGGAGCAGATGTAATTGTAGTTGCAGAGTTTTGTCCATCCAGCCTCAGTATCAGTCTATCTCCATACGTGACAGTGATGAAGTGCCTCAGCGTGGCTTCTCACGCTAGGCTCTGAAAAATGAAGCCATTCGTTGCAGAGGGAGAGGGGCTGAGCAGCCAAGGCTCGTGGGCACGTGAAGGTCTTCTCGCTTGATCTACGCCGGTCTTAACAGGACCATCCATCTAAATCAGAGCCCAGTCCATGCACTACTTGTACCACACACTATTATGCTATTATTCTTCACAAAAAATGACCACATCATAATTTCTCGAGTAAACGAGCCAGAAACAGAAAGGTCGACAAAGAATGCAGGGAGTGCGGTCATGGCCAATATGATAAAATTACTCAAATTATATCAAAGACTGTCTTAGTCTGCTTTGTGTCTTCCTCTCCTATCCTCTTGACCCTGTCATGTAGATGGTTCCTCTGTGGTTTATAACCTTGGTTTACAGCTTCAGCAGTTGGATCCAGGAGATCAGAGAGGTTCAATTCAGCCATAAAGTGTCATGGGGCTTTACAAACAAAGAATGTTCTGCTTTAATGTTTTATTTTATTAGATGTGTGCCATGTGTACAGGAAATACTCACACTACTATAAACTGTGCAGTAATCAATGTCTACCAAAATCCCCTCAAATAGGAGATCTTGAAAAGATCAGACATTCAATTATTAACATTAAATGAGGCTAAATCAAATTCCCCAGGTTCCGCTGGCAATTTCTGTCTCCTCTCACCTCAGCTGATCTTTTTCTGTCTGCCTCTCCACAGAGTCAGTAATCATGTACGATGCAACGAGGGTGCCATCGCCTAAGGACGGTGCAAACGGGATGGCCCAGCCGGTGGTCCCTGGAGCAGGAGCAGCAGCAGCTGCAGGATCAGGAGCTCCTGCGCCAACTGTCCTACAAACTATGACTGAGGAGGGGCAGCCAGGTACGGAGGAGGAGGAGCCCAAAGCAGAGCCTGTCCTGGTGAAGAAGCCGCACAGAGAGATCCTGGACCATGAGAGGAAAAGGAGGGTGGAGCTCAAATGTATGGAGCTCCAGGAGATGATGGAGGAGCAGGGGTAAGTAGATGTGATGAGCAAACAACATCCTTAACACAATGGGCCTCATGCAAGAACCACTATAATGTATACACTTAAAACTGATATATTTGCATGTTATATTAGTATCTTTATAGTTATTGTTATAACAAGAATTAAACCATTCAACTAATTCCTTTATCTGAATGACATTGGAGTTTAAATAAGAAACAGAAATCAACTTAAATAATAATAAAGAACTGAAGCAAACATGGTTCCACTTCATTTTACAGTGTGCTAATAAGATGTAACAGGCATCCTTTATCATAAATTAAAATGCTAATAGACTCTAATAAGGATGTAACAGTGAGGAAATAAATGGTAGATATTCTGTTGTGCAGACCTTTATTCAGAAAATCTTATAAGGCTCTAACAGTGGGAGACTTCTTTCATGTTACACCCACAGTAAGTATAACTTCACCTACAATAGACTATTTTCCACCACTGACATTTTTCAGCGTTTAACTTCATCTCAAAACATTTCTTCATTATCTCTGTTACAGCACAGTGCTGATGACAGGACTCTGGCAGCTGTATTTATGTTTTTTAAATAGTTCTATGGTACGACAACCAATGCTCCTACTTCTATTACATGTTCATCTGCTGATTCTTGACATCAGTACTTATACTAATATATTTCTTTTTAATTCTGGGTGACATATTTTATAGCTACTGCACAGATTATGCAAATTATCAAATCTAATCTACACATTTTCACTCAGTAAAGAGATGGCATGCTGCAAGAGGTTTACTCAGTTTGGCGGATGGTGGTCAAATCTCACAGCTAAAAGTAAGAGAGTTTTGGAATAAGAATAAGAAAATGTTCTTGCATGATGCCTGAAATGAAGCACACAAACACTGAAGTTGCACCGAATAAATGTTGTTTCAACAAGCAAGTAAACACTCTGTTTGCACTTGGTATTTGATGTCAAGCGACATTACCATTTGCAGTGAAACAGCAGGTTGTTTATCCTTTCTTTACTATTCACTTACTGTGGAGCTGGTTGGAGGTTGAAGCCATGAAAACACTCTTTGCGTAGTGGAGAACTCAACATTGACAGGTATGTACCTGTAGGGGTGCTGAGTTCACAAGCTGCAGCAAAACATTACATTCAAAATCTGTTACCTGCCAAAAGTCATTTTCATTGATGTCCTGGGAAGAAGAAACAGGAGCAGAAGAGGGTTCTCAACATTAAGTGTAGTGGTTTTGCAAGGAAATGGTGCATAGCAGCAGAACTTTGGTGCTATGGCTATTTTTAGCAACACGGCATGGACATTTTATCAGTAGCTGTGATCTGTCCTGACCAATCAAGTATTTATTTTGAAGACCAATAAAAGCACTGCATTTGTATGCTGCTCTGGAATATCATGTAACACAAGGAGAGCTCAACAGCTGGTCCCAGAAGTGAAAACCCCATTCATTTTCTGAATAGATATTTTGATTATCAGCCATAATGTTGAAACCATTCAAGGTAGACTGAGCACAGGAAACGAGATTGTGAAACAATATTATATTCTCCTGTGGAAGCCCCAAGTCCACAACTGCTTTTTCAAGAAAAATATGTCTTATTTGGGATGTCAAGAAGAATAACTGCACTACCCACAGTCCTCAGGTGTAATCTCTGATTGGTCAAGCTCACTGTTACCATGGAAATGTTAACCACAACTGCAAAAATAATTTTGACTGTGATCAGCTTTGATTGGCTACGATCGGATCATTCAGCGTTACTACACTACATGAGTATTTTATACACTATATGAAATGCTATATACATGCATGCAAAGCACACACACTACAACATATTGCAACACTTTATTGACAACAGATTTGATTCAAGAAGAAGCACACAGGAAGTTGTAAAAAGGGATAATTTGCAATGGTTTATGGGATGTGTAATTCCTTCACACTTAAAATAATTATGTACGCAGTCTTCTACCTTTGCCTTTTTTTTCCATTTTCCAATATTTTTTGTGTTTCAAATGTTTTATGGTCACAGTTCATCTCGTAGCTGGTTGGCCTGGTCCCAGGCTTAATACTCTTTTACAAGGATTTTCTGAAACGTCAATGGAGAAAATAATTGGGAAATTTGCTTCAGGAACTGGAGCCATTCTAAAAGTGGGCAGTCACTGACACACTCTATTAAGCTAATGTCCTGTGGGAGTTTGCCCTGGTCCTAAGATGAGTGTGCCACAGCATAGGAAGCAGCTCAGTGAGTGAAGGGCACTACACGGAGTGTTTTGGCAGGGACCTGGGTACTTCCTGCTTGGCCAGCTGCCCCAGATAACGTGACTGGCAGTGTTCACAATTAGCATCCCAGTGAAGGATCGTGTCCTCTTCACTGGACCGTTTGCAGTGACATGACATGGTTGGGTGCCTGTGGAGAAGCGAGGGGGTGGTTAGGATATACGATTGTTTATGTTGGAGATCTCTACACTGTGCCCAAGCTGATGCTGGGAGTGACTTACGACAGAAACCACAGTGTGCTGGGATTTTCACCTGTAGAATTATAAGAAGAGATTTAAAAGGCAGAAACTTGTGTGAAACTAAAACATCCTCATAGTACCTGAATTCAAGCTTTTGAATTCATGTTATTATTTTAGTAAAATATAAAACCGATATGGTTCAAACAGGTGGAAGCAACAAAGCCTGGTTATCTCTTTAACAAATATAGCAGCCTCATAGCTAAGACATGAATTTAACTCACAGATGAAAATCACATAAACACACAACACCCACACGGACACACACACACATATGATACATGGATCTTCACATCAGCAGCAGCCATTTTGCCTCACAATATTGTGTATCTCACTTATGTTACGTATTTGCAGTCACCAGATGAACTTTGCATTTTTTGGCCTTATCCTCAAGTAATGGTTATCACTGAGGTTGCCATAGTGACCATCAGGTCGACACAGTGCAGTCTGTTTCAATAGAATGTTACATGTCCTTCAGCACAATGTCAGGGTGAGCTTGGTTTGCTTTCAAGCTATGTCTGTGGAAATAGTTTTCCCTGTAATTGGTCTTAATCTACAACCTTAGGGATGGTCTGAGGCATGAAGACACACACACACACACTATAGAGACTATAGAGACCCTAACCACTACTTGCCTAACATTGCCCCCTATCCACTGACCCGAAAATAGTTTTTTTCCAAATTTTCTGTATGTCTTTTAGACAACCTCATTAAAAACATGTTCCCAAAGGTAACCTATGACAGACACACAGACAGACACACACACACACTGTTGCTTGGACAACTCTCGGCTATGCGAGACTGAAATGAATGACAAGCTCTGTGATCCTGTGATTGTACAGAGGAAACTCACTTTCTCGCTGATATCTGGTGACATTTTATTCACATCACATTTGTCATGATAGAAAGCCCGCTCATCCTTTATAGATTAGATAAGGGTGATTTAATTGAATAAAGGGCAAGCCAATTAGTGAGAATTCTTTTGGTTGAGGCTAGATATGACAGGTGACTGACACAAAATGAAATGTCAGAATGTGATCCTGTGTTTTTCAAATTAAAAAAATAAATACCACCTTTTGTGCTGCTGATCCTTTTAGTATAGAGAAGGAGGGATGCAAATATGGAGATGGGTGGAGTTTATTTTCTCCCCACTTGTTAACCCTTCCCTCCCTCAGTGAGCATGACTTGGCTTGTCAGACAGTAAGACCTCATTAAGAGTGAAGGGTAATGGTTGAGCTATGCCAGGCTGACGCAAGCTGAGATGGAACTGCTGGAGTTTACAAAAAAAGAGGAGGTCCGCTGTTGCCTTCTGTCAAGGTCCACTCATCTCCTGCCTTGAGTAGACATAGCTGTTCCTGGTTTGAGAGCCATGTAAAAGAGCCATGATGTCTAGTGGAACAGTGTAGTGGCAGGCAGCAGCTCGGCTAATGATGACAGAATACAAGAGGACCAGACGCCCACGCTGGCCAGCTCCACTCCCTCCGCAGACTGCACGAGCTCGGCTGGCAGACGGTTGCACTTGAAGGACGGCAACCACTCAGCTGAGTGTTAAAGCTACGGACAGACTCAACTCATCTTGTTAAGCTATAATAAAAGGAGAATCTCATTTGCCAGCCTGGCTCAGCAGAGCTCATCTTGCCTCTCCAATTTCTAATGTGCCTCTTTAAATGACAGTGTGTGTGTGCATGTGTGCAGGATTAAGGGATAGAGCAGGATGAAACACAGGGGTAGAGACAGAGAGCAATGCCAGACATTAGACACAATTAATATGGTGGCTGGAGTCTCTTTTACATTTTTTTGTGGATTTAAGACCGAGGGCTCAGCTTCACCCGAGAGTCCTCGCCCTGAGACCATGGTGGAGGATGAGGCTGGGGGCAGTTTGGACACCTGCCTCCCTCTCAAACCCTGCCAGCATGGCAGACACTCCCCTCCTATCTTTGACATACAACCCCCCCAATTCAGCTTGTTTCCAAAGATAAGACCAGGATAAATAGTCTGTCTTGAGTGATGGCCTCACCTTGGGAGCCAATTAAAGAGGACGCAGCAATTAAATGAGTCTGTTCATTTAGCTGTCGAAGACCTGGCTGCACCCCCCCATTCACTGGAGCATTGAGTGCTCTGCAGGAAACATTGCCCTTTTGTGTGACAGGCGGAAGGTTCTATACATCAGGCCTTTTATACGTGACAGCTGTCTGGAGGAGCATGACGCATGATCTGTTAGAGTAGCTCTTGAAGAAGATGGTATATACCTCTACTGTGAATATTCTGATTACTTAAAAAATGTCTACTTTTTGTACCTTCTGACAGCATAACTTACTGACTGATTTCAAGTTCATGGGCTGCTCTGCATGTGAGGGCTCAGACCGGCGTTTTTCCCTCTAATTGAGCCATAATGATTGTGCGTGTTTCTCACTCCTGTGGAGTCTGAGCCTTTTTCCAGCTCTTTAATGAGCCCCCTTCACATGGCCTCGCTCATTCAAAACTGCAGGCTGCATGCTTCT